TGATGGGCATGTAGATTGCTTCCATGACTTGGCAATTATGAATTGAGCTGCAATAAACATTCTAGTGCAAATGTCTTTGTGGTAAATGATTTTTGTTCTTCTGGGTAGATAACTAGTAATGGGATTGCAGGGTCAAATGGAAGATCTACTTTTAGATCTTTGAGGATTCTCCATACTTCTCTCCAAAAAGGCTGTATTAGTTTGCAATCTCACCAGCAGTATAGAAGTGTTCTCTTCTCACCACACCCATGCCAGCATCTGGTATTTTGGGACTTTGTGATATGGGCTAATCTTGTAAGGGTTAGGTGATCCTTCGAGTGGTTTTGATGCATTTCTTTGATGATTAAAGATGATGAGCATTTTTTTCATGTGTTTGTTGGCCAATGGTCTGTCATCCTCAGAGATGTTTCTGTTTAAATCTCTTGCCCACATATAGAGAGGGTTGTTTGCACTTTTCTTAATGTTTAATTTGAGTTCTCTGTAGATTCTAGTTATCAGCCTTTGTCAGATTCATAATGTGCAAAAATGAGAAGACTGAACTTTAAAAGGGTTAAAGTTTACACCCATATAACCTCCTGTAAGACCTTTAGAATCTTTTATCTTAGAATCCTATTAAGCCTTTGATATTTGACAGATCTTCCAAAATTAAAACTCTTTTTGAAATATTAAGTCCACTGAAAATCTGAAAAAAACATATTAGGCTTATTCTCAGTGTGTTAAAACTGTATAGGAAATATTGTCAAATATGAATATTGTCTTTTTGAAATATTAAGTCCACTGAATATTGTCTTTTTGAAATATTAAGTCCACTGAAAATCTGAAAAAAACATATTAGGCTTATTCTCAGTGTGTTAAAACTGTATAGGAAATATTGTCAAATATGAAATGGTAGTTAATTTTCTGTGGATTATGTTTGTATATATACAAATATTTTAATATTAGAAAATATTGATATGTCTTATTGTATGTTATCAATAATAATTTTTGATTTATGTCAGAAAAACATTTTTTAAATTGGATAAGTCCAAAATTTGTCCTTCAAGGCAAGTAATGAAAAAGCTGACAATTTCTCTTGGATACAAATTTCTGATGACTTTGAAAATTATATACCATCAGACTAAAAATAAACTTTCAGGCCTTTAATTAGAAAGCTAACATGTCCATGAGTATTGCTAACCTAACCTTAAATAGAACAGAAATTAATTATGTGGGACTGAACTGATTTTTATGACTTATTGTTTAAAACATTACTGATTCTTTCCATGTTCTGTTTTCCAGAAGTCAAGAAAACCCTTTTCCATCTCTTCAGCTATTTATAGCCTGCAACAATGTGCAGGGTAACATAAAGTTTGTGTGCAAGTTACTATATTAAACTATTTTAAATTGCACACAAACTTTTTTTAACACCCTGTACATATTTATAAGCAAAATTTGAAACATTTATTTTCCTCTCTCTTTAATTTCTCTAGAATTTGAAAACTGTTCATAAATATTCTTAATTTCTGACAATATAGTTATTTGCATAAGTTCATAAAAATCTGTTTTCTTCTATAGGATGCAATGAAAAATACTGGTTATTTTACCAAGGTTTTGACTGAAATGACATTTTCGGAGGTGTTCAGACTGCAGTAAGAAATTAAAGTTGACTTTATAAGGCCAATAAAAATCCCATTGAAAAAACTGGCTAGATACCTCATCAGTAATGTTTCTTGGTCTGTGATGAGTAAAAAACGTCACTTTCTGACAAGTCCAGGCACTCCAAGTTGCTTTGGGAGAGGAATTAACCCAATACATATAGACATCTAATGACACAGATGAAACCTTGAGTTGACTTGAGAAGCTTTCTAGTCTAACCTGGTATTCCTTATAAAAGCTTCCAGCAAAGCCAATTTTAAAAGAAAGAAAGGCCTAGATGGCTAACAATTATTCTTACTATACTTTATATAAATAATTAGACCCAGTATACTGGAAGTATAGTTTATTTTGACAAATAAATTGATTGTGCTAGGATTTGCCTTTAGTAAAATGGGAAATTAAAGAGAAAAAAAATATGGTTTAAAATAAAAATCTATAGATCACTCATATTAGATGCCTGCTTTGTCTGTAATGCTAGTTCATAACATGATACATAGCTATTTAACCAAATTGATCTATTCATAAGACTAAGAAACTGGCCAAAGAGTATAAAATTATATACAGTATCAGATTTACTGCAATGTACTTTTTCTTTCTGCTTCTTAGTCCTGAGATAACATATTGAGTTTTAATATGTAAAATCTTTTAATTTCAAAGTGGACAAGGAAAAAGAAGAAAGGTAAAAATTTACTCCAAAATACATGTGTCTAACATATTTTGGGATGACTACCCTAGAAATAATAACACGAAAGCATGCTAATATGCTTGTCCCAATCTATAGACTATATACCAAAAGGAATATGATCAGAGATTTGTCTCTGACTCTAAGACTGGTGGAGAAGAAAACTGGAAAAGCCCTAAGGTTCAACAAAGATTGTTCCACTTGCTAGTCCAGGTACTCCTAGATAATCAAGCAGTGCTGGGCTGCCTATTAACTACACTGGAAGGAATGCGTACAGTATTAAACACTATCTGCTAGGTCGATATAGATACCTCAGGAGAAATTAAAACCTGAATTAAAATTTCCCAGTAAGTGGCATGGCTACAACAGTGCCTCATAAGCAGCCCACACCCGGTTGATTTTCAGGAATATTCACTTAAATTGCCCAGAATTTCAGATCAGTTCTATAAGGACTCTTAAAGCTAAATTTTATCTTAAGAACTCTGCTGAGCTGTAAATAAAAATACTAATGTTCTCATCGTGCAAACCTTAGCCTCAAAAGCCAAAACTTGTGCATATTTGTAGGTTACTGCTAAATAGTTTCATTCTTTTTTTTTCTTTCTTTCTTTCTTTTCTTTTTTTTTTTTTTTTTTTGAGACAGAGTCTCACTATGTCACCCTAGGTAAAGTGCTGTGGCATCATAGCTCACTGCAACCTCAAACTCTTGGGTTTAACCAATTCTCTTACCTCAGCCTCCCAAGTATCTGGGACTACAGGCACCCACCACAACACGCAGCTATTTTTCTGTTGCAGTTGTCATTGTTGCTTAGCTGGCCGGGGTTGGATTTGAACCTGCCAACCTCGATGTATGTGGCTGGCACCATAACCACTGTGCTATGGGTGCCAAGCCTACATAGTTTCATTCTCTTACCCTGGGAACAACCCTGACTTTGTCCATGTCGATGAAGCCAGATTGGGCCTCTATTTACTTCTTTACTATAGAGTAGTTTTTGAAATATCTTCCAAGTCCTACATTCCAGTAATGGACTTACCCAGACCAAAGAACTTACTCAGCTCGTTTTAGACCCTCCACTCAAAATGGCTGTTCTGACTTTTACAAGATCTCCTGCAGATGACCTTTGATTTCTGTCATGGCACATCCTGCCACTTCCTGAGCCACACCATGCTACACTCTGAATTGCTGAAAAAGAGGCTCCTTTCTCTACTTTGTGAGACCTACATACATTCCCACCCTCAATCAAGTTCTTCTGAAGACTTAGAAAAAACACCTGACAACCAACTCAAGAGAAAGAGGACAAACCATCCCCTACAACGATGAAGTTGTCTGGATTGTGTCAATCCTGCATCTAGCCTTATTCCTAAGAAAAACCAGTGAACTCAAACCAGACCAGTGGATTGCAAAACTGTGTGGAGATGGGGGTTAAAAACTTCAGTTGTTGGGATGGAAAATATATGATTCTCAAAAATCTTTGTTATTATACTTATTGTATCCCTTGTTGTCTCTTGCTAACTGTGCTGCATGTTGTTTCTAGTATAACTTTAAACCTATCCCTGAACTGAGTAAGTTCCATCATGGGACAAATGCAGTAAATTGTAGTAATTATTTCTATGTAAAATCTATTTCATAGATATGAAATGTAGTAATAGGAGTGCAAAATGAAAGCACATGTAGTGAGAATAAGGTAGAATCATTCAGGCTATGGCTGAGAGGACAGAGCTGGTCTGGTCAGTTTAGGTCTTAGTGACCTTCACGTCACATCTCCCATCCTTATTGTTTTGTAAATTCAGCTTTAACCTAAAAGTGTGTATCTTCAGTAGTTTAGGACAATTGATTTAAAAGGTTAACTTTTAAATTGTAATGTTATTTTGAGTCATGGGTAATGCTGATTATTTTTTATTATGGGTCATAGGTTATGCCTATTATTATTAAGATAAAGATTAACGTGATTTTTACCTTGAACTTTTATGTATAAAACTGTGATTTTAGAAATGGAAGATCAGAACAGTCTTAAAGAGGCTACTCTCGCTGTTCTCCAGAATCTCCGCCTTGTGACAAAGTTTGGTGGACCTATCCCTGTCTGTGCATACTGGCTGACAGTGACAGGCAGGGGGGACCCTCTTCATCCAACAACACAACAAATGGGGAGCGAAACTCTCAAAGAGCAGCAAAAAGGAATTCATCGTCACCTGCTATTGAAGGATCCCTACCGCCCAACCTACCTGAGACCAAGGCAGGCAGCACACCCACATCTCCCTGGGGACCCGGCCTACATGGTCAAGGTCGCCCGCACCAGCTTCGGAGCTGCCTGTCCTCGCCAAGGACTGGCATCCAGGGCTTTGGCTGCCAGCCAAGACCGTCATAAACGTGCTCGCTGCTGGGACTGGCAACAAAAACACCTGCTCAGCGAGTACATGAAGACCTGTCCTCGGGAATTCCCTCCGGCCACCTCCCCCTGGTCTCTGGGCCAGCGAAGGTCGAGCAGGCTGCAATGACCGCTCGCCGGGCTCCTCCCCTCAGCCAAAGACCCAGGAAATAACAGCCTCCGCAATAGGAGCACACCCTGCCAATCAAGCCTAGCCTCCGCCCACGCCCAGGCCGATTAAATGGAATTGGTTGCATCGTTACCGCCTCGTCATAAGATTCTCTTCTTGGATTGGCTAATAGTATCTCCTCCATTCTGCCCCTTCTTTGTCAGAAGCTCGCAATTGGGTAGGCGTGTTGCCAAGCTCCGGATGCTGCTCAGCCATTGGAGGCTGCCGGCCCGCCCCCGCCGGCTGGGTGAAGGTGAGAGTCTCCTCGGGTCGCCGTGGCCAGCCGGGACCGAGCTGCTCCAGGCGCGGGGTGAAAGCTCTGGGCAGATACTTGCTCTCTCGCCATGGCGCCTCCATCAGTCTTTGCCGAGGTTCCTCAGAGCGAGCCGGTCCTGGTCTTTAAGCTTACTGCCGACTTCCGGGAGGATCCGGATCCCCGCAAGGTCAACCTGGGAGTGGGAGGTAAGGATGCAGTGATTGGGAGAGTGAGCAGCTTGGGAGTGTAGCGGACCCAACCTGGGGGTGGGAGGTAGGAGAGGCCGAGGCCCAGCGTGGCGCTGCCTGAACAGGGGGATGCCGGAGAGGAGGCAGGGTCCAGAAAGACTTCGCTCAACCTGCCCATTTTAGAGAGGAGGATATGGAGCCGCTGGAAAGGGGAGATATGTCCAAAGTCACACAATGGGTTTGGCAGCCAGGACACAAACGCAGGCTTTCTGATTCCCCAACCTGTGTTCTTCATACTACATCCTTCAAAGAAATGGGGCGGCCAGCGCTTGTAAGGAGAGGGAGGCAAATAAGAAGCCTAATAGGCTCTGGGTCCCGGGTACTGGAAAAGGGGTAAAGGAGAACTGTTAGTCCTAGGGAGCTCTGGTCTGGGCTAGTAACCATTTGATTGACTACCAAGTATCAATCAGGGACCTTATTAAGTCTTGTGGGGAAGACTGAGGCTTGGTTTTGCTCTTGAGGATTTTAAAATCTACACTATGCTTTGAGATGGGTTAATGCTTCCTGGAGGGATCTGGGAAGATGGTTTGGCTCTCACAGATGTGGTAGAAATGGATAGAGATGGTGGAAAGCAGTAGGAAGAAGTATGGATATGAGCATAGAACCTCACTTTCCACACATCCTTGTCTTCATTTCTTGATTGTATTTCCTGGGCTTTGGAGAGCTCAGAGCGTGGGCCTCAGTTTTCCCAGCTGCCAAGAAGGTTTATATTGGAGTGCCTCTGAAATTCCTTTAATTCAGATCTCTGATGACTTTGTTATGTTCCTCTCACCATCATTTGGATATTTGAAGTCCCATAGTCACTTTCTCCATTTGGATTTTGCCATATACAAAGCATAATTTGTCCTATGCTAGGAAACAAACTTAATACTAGGACTAGAAACTTTGAAAGAGCAAATGGAATTATACTGTTGCAGAGGGTGACATGAAGGAAGCTCCCATGGAGAATGTTTGTGTCTATACATAGCATCTGTTAAGTCTTTACCCAGGAGTTTGGGAGTGGGGTAAAAAAAGAAAAACATTAAAAAGTGATTGTTGCCAAAGACGTTAATTTGTGGAAGCTGGGTAACAGGTACATGGACATACATTGTATTATTCTCTTAGCTTTTGCAAAGGGCTGAAATTTTTCATAATAAAGCACTTTAAAAAAGTCAATACTATGTAGTTTCACAGATGGAGGGAAAATGATGTTTTTAGCAGGCAGCAGAGTGAAGGAAGTATTAAAAGATTGCCTCGAATTGAATTGGAATGGACACCATTCAAGCTCTTAATTTAAATCAAATCCAGAATCGAAGTATTTCTTTATAGCCATATATATATACTGAAGAATATTCATATTGATCTAAATATACTAATATTCATATTGATGTAAATATATCTTTGTATAACATAAGATTTTATTGGCTCATTTACCTTTGAACTATCTTACAGAGTTTTTGTGCAGATTAAGTACATTTAAAGTGTTTAGAACTGTGTCTGGCACATAAGTAGGATTTATCTAAGTGTTAGCTATTATGATTATTGTTGTTTTGACATTTGGGTGAATCTCATAAAAGATGTAGAAGGAAAATTTTTGGCTTAAGAACTGCAAAATGAAATAATTTGACACTGGGTCAGAAATAAGCTGCTCATGCAGAGAAAAGGCACCATAATAGCCCAGGCCAGAAGTGCTTGACTCATAATCATAGTCATTAGTGCACATGGCCACCTCCTCTGTGATGGTGCCTTTGTCATGTTTTCCTGGAACTCAGGAACTTCATTCCTTACTATGAGCAAATGATTGATCCATGTAACCTCATTTAATGTTCACAGCTCTGGAAAGTTGTTTATTACTGTTTAGAGGAAGGAAGCCAAAGCCCTGAGAGATAAGCTGTTTGCCCCAGGTCATGTATCCTAGGTGGTAGAGCTGAGACTCCAGGCTAGGTCTCTCAGGCCCCAGATTCTCTATCCACTCCTCTAGTTCAGGTACCTACCTACATCTGGTTTGGGGGTAGCCAGTGCACCATAGTGGGAAGAGCCAGGAGACCTAGGGACAGACCTACTACTGTGTTCCAATGAGGTGACCTTGGAAGGGTTATTTAACATTACTGGGGCTCAGTCTGCTAAATGAGGAGACAAACTGAATAACCTTTCTCTAAATTCTACTCTAAGATTTAGCTCTACTAAAAGTTTACTCCAAGATTCCCCAGCACATTCTGTGAATATAGTGTAGGATAATTTTACTGGCTTCGTCAACTGAGGATTAAATGATAATCATGTGTGAAATGTAATATGTAAATGAAAGTGATATATGGGGGGTCCCCAAAGTAGCCATACATAGGGAAAATGAGAAATTGGAGCTAAATGTACCTTTTTTTTTTTTACACAAAATATTAACAAAATCTTCTGTACATATTGGTCACCTCTTTCTACACACACACAAAGTCTTCTCTCCCACTCATGGTGAACATGGTCCAAGATATCTGCCACCATACATGTTTCCTATGTATGGCAACTTTGGGGTGCCCTGTATATAAATGTTGTTGTTAATCATCATTATGACCTTTTTATGGATGGCCGATGTTTAGACAAGGGCCTCATGAGAGTAGAATCAAAGGTCTCTTTCTAGCTTTTGTAAGTCCTACCCTTACTTTATACACATCCAAAATATACTCATTGTGAAGGAAATGTAATTACAACCGACTTTGGGGAAGAGACTCTTCTTTCCCTTCAAGTTAAGATATAAACCCTAATGGAAATTCTCCAGCTCGTGTTCTAGTGATGCTGGGACATATTTAGAATAAACTGCAACTATAATCTCAGAAAGTTCCTATTTGCAGATAGTTTCCTCAGAGATTTTCTTCTTGCTGTGACAATTTCAATAATTCCTATATAGTTAAACAGGTAAGTATATAACATTCAAACATAGACCTGAAACATAATAAAACAGTTTTTCTATGAACATCTAAACTTTGGTATATCCAAGTAGTCTCCTTTAAACTTTGGAGTCTCCTTTTGTTTTTCTATGAACATCCAAACTTTGGTAAATCCAAGTAGTCTCCTTTAAAGCATAGTTAAAACATGCCTTTTTGTTCAAAGATTTTTTTGGGAAACTTCTTTTGGAATGGCCTTGGAGGCAGGTAGGACCCACACAAGAGATCATTGCTTTCTAATTGTTCTCCATGAATATTATCCCCTTTATTTACCCACCCTCTTCTCTGGAGATGATGCAAGTACTATTTCCAAAACTTAAATTGAGTTTCAAAGGATGAAGTGTTGGCCCTGCTGGGGATATTCAAAATAATGAAATGTTGCCTTCGAAAACAATTCCAAAAGAAATTTTAAGAACACTTTGAGCAGTGGTAACATTGTGATCTTAGATAGTGTTAATCTGTTTCCGGGAGAACTCTTACTTGGAAGTAGTTATTTTGGTATGCCTGTGAGGAAACCAGACCAGATCCCATCTGGTAAAGGAGACTTTGAATTTGTTGAGAAGGAATTAGTTTGGTGGGTCTAGGGGTAGCATGTGAGTGGTACGAGGGTATTATGAGTTAGATTCTCCTACCCTGAGACTGTTGGTTGGTTAGTGGCTGTGTCAGCCTGTAGCTCCATCTTTATTTTTATTACTAGCTTGATAGGTTTCTCAGTTTTGTAGATGACACATTCCTGGAGGGTAGAGTTAGCTGATAGAAGACACAAAAAATTCAAAATGATTATATAAAGTCTTTTGTTGTATATCTTTTGACCTAGTAAATTTATATTTAGAATTTTTTCCTAAGAAAACAGTTGAGTATGCCTAAAGATCTAAGAGTATTCATCACAATGTTTATGATAGTAAATAATTGAAAAGAAAACTATTACATATAGGAAGGGATATTATATAATTACTAAAATGATGTTGCAAATGGCTCATATGTATGAAAAATGCCCAGTTGCATTCATAAGAGAAATGCAAATTAAAACTACCCTGGGATACTATTCGTACCCTGATATTGGCAAAAGTTTATTCAGTGGGTAAGGCTGTGTGGAAGTAGGCACTGTTATATTGGTGGTGGTGGGAATGTGATTCCATTTAATTCCTATGGAGGGCAATTTGGAAATATTTGTCAAAATTACAATACATATAACTACTTAGCTCCCTCCTCCATTTTTCACCCTGCTTGTTAACAGATACAATTGCATTCATGTGAGATGACATATGTACAAGGTTGTTCAGTAAAGTACTGTTTTAAGATTGTAAACAACTTACATATCCATCAACAAGAGACTGACAAAATAAAATGTGGTACATTCATCAGTTAAGCAGCTATAAAAAGGAACAAGGACACTCTTTATGCATGAATATAAAAAGATCTTCAAGTGGAAAAAGCAAGGAATGAAACCATGTATGTATGTGATATGCTACCTTTTGTGTAAAAAGGGCATAGGGAAGAAGCTATATTTGTGTGTGCATAGAGAAATTCTGGAAGGATACATAAGAACATAACTATATGGAGGAAGGGATTTGGAAACTAGACAGAGGATAAAGATGGGACGGGGACATGCAAACATATCACCTATTGGAAGAATAGTTAATGATGATGAAAAAGATTGGTAATATATATTTAAGTGGGAAAAAGCACATTGAAAATTCTGAATACAATATGATTCATATTTTGTAAATAAAATGTTTATAGAAAATAAAGCTTAGAAGGTTGTACACCAAAGTTTTTGTATTCCTTATCTCTGAGCACCAAGATTACATGTTAATTATCACGTTTATTATTTACTTTCTGGCCTTTCCTAATTTTTCTACAATCAGGATGTGTTGTTCAGTAAACAATAAAAACTACCCTAAAAAGTGTTTTTTTTTTTCATGACAGAGATTAATACAAGATATAACTTGATCAGAATTGTTCTAAAATTTTGTTTCAGTTTCAAAGTCCCTTGCCTAATATAGGATTGTTGAAGACCTAAACATTTGAACAGAGAGGCAAATGACTTCTTGTCAGGAATCCTACTCCAAGAGATTATTGGCTTGGGTGCAAGGCCAAAGCAGCTGAACTCTAAAGCTATAATCCTAACATAATCGTAGAGTAGTACAGGAAAAAAATCAGTGATAGGATAACTCCGAGCTTAGAAATTTACTATAGAGCAAGATTAAATATTGTGAGAGATCAATATCAATGAAAGGGTGAGGCAGATGAAGTGGGATAAACATTCAAAATGGTAAACATTGCCTGATGTGAAAATACAGGAAGAGGATAGAGGGGTGTGTTAGATGACCCTGGGGTAATTGTGTAACCCAACCAGTTGTTGGACCCTTCGGTTGCAGGCATGTGCTTACTCTACATTCTAATTCTGCTCTTCTAGGACAAGAGGCAGGGTGGCCTCCTAGCAATATTGATGTGGTGTTTAGTTTGCAGAGTGCTCTCCCATGCACTCTCCCACATGACCAGGCTCTGTGATGTCCCAGTTTTATTTCAGCATTCTACTTTTTGGCAGTCACATAGTTAATGAGCTATACGTTTCATAAGGATGGAATCATGTCTGTCTTGTTTGCCCAGCACCTAGCTCATGTTTGGCCCTAATTAGGTACTCAGTGAGTGAATGAACTTTACTTCAATTCCCTTCACTGTTCTGTTTTAACTGGAAGGTGTCAGAATGCTTCCTGTTCACAGTTATAAACTCTCACTTGGGCACAGACTAAGACTCCTCTGTATCAACTCTTTTCCATTCTCTAGCGTATCGCACAGATGACTCCCAGCCCTGGGTTCTGCCAGTAGTGAGGAAGGTGGAGCAGAAGATTGCTAACGACAGTAGCCTAAACCATGAGTATCTACCCATCTTGGGCCTGGCAGAGTTCCGGACCTATGCTTCTCGCTTAGTCCTTGGGGACAACAGCCCAGCTATCAAGGAGAAGCGGGTGAGTTTTGTAAATTGTGAAAGTAAAAAGAAGTTGAAAAACGCAGGGTTTTTTTTGAACTACCAATGAATAAGGGTTTCAGTAGAGTTAAGTTTAAGAACTTGATAGAGTACATAAGGTAGTCACACACACAGCATGGAGTTGTTTAGTTTTGTCTAGTAGATCATCGGATTCCTGCTGCCAGGTTTAAAGCAGCCTGTGGAGATGCCAAGTAGAGGAGATTTAAAGGAATCATAAGAGAGATCAGGGTTCTAGACCCAACTCTGCCACTATTTTTGACCACAAAAATTCATTTACCCCTCTGGACCCTACATCTACATATCAGGAAAAGACTTAACATAGTTTGGATTTAGGACCCCATAAGGAACACTTGCATAGGGGATCTTTTAAGGGGCCTCTGAGCCCCCTGAAATTATATGTAGAATTTTGTGTATACTTAACTCCTGGGGAGAAGGTTGATTTCTTATATCAGCTTTTCAAAAGGTATCTATGTCCCCCCCAAAAAAGTTCAAGAGTCGCTAGTCTAGATGCTCTTTGAAGTCCTTGCCAGCTCTTAATATTCTTTAATATGTCCAGCCTTGAGCTTAGCATCTCTCATCTAAGTACTTCCTGGTATGTATGCTGTGTATAACTATAGACACATGGAGGAGGAACACGTCTCGGACGGAGGCAGGCTGTACATGACAGGAAGTGGTATGACTCTCAGTGTTGTAGGAATTCATGAGGGCTGGAGATGGGACTTGAGCTGAACCTTGGTGAATGTGTGAACAAGGCCAGGACACTGGTTATCTGGCTCAACAATAGTATCATGTAGGGAGTTTGTAGAAACTTACTAATGACTGGACTCTGTGGACTCCATACCAGGCCAGTTAAATCAGAATCTTGGAGGACGCCACCTTTCCCCTCTCCTTTTTACTCCTCCCCTTTTCTGTCCCTGCCATGGCTCGTTTTTTTTAAAAGCTCCCCAGGTGATTTCAAAGTATAGCCAGGTGTGAGAACCAACCACAAAGTAAGGAAGAGGGACAAAAGGAGGGGAGTATTTGCCTTGAGTGGTCAGAGTCCAGGGACAAAGATAAGGGGTAAGCAGATCTAGGATGTGAAGAGACCTGGTTGATGAGAGCAGGAAACATGTTGGACAAATCAGGCAGACTGATTTTGGCAGCAAGGGCAGGAGAAGCCACCTGAAGGTTTAAGCAGAGAAGTTACTCAATAAAAGTGTTATTTGAAGAAGATAAAACTGATTAGATGGGTAGGAAAGGTGAGAGCTCAGATTTTTGCAATAGTCCAGTTAGGTATTGTGCAATTAAGTACTCCGCAGGCCAGTGTTATAGTAGAGCCTATGGTTCATGCTTTGAAGGAACCACATCTTATAGTCATCTGATTTATTCTCCACATGCTGTTACAGCAGGTTTTTCCTTTTGCATATCATGTTACCCAGATGCCCCGATAAACAGAACCACAGGATAAATAAAGGTTGCACACATGTACTTTCTTATGTGTATCAGGAGGCAGGGCAGCTCTAGTGAAGATTTGGGAACTCTGGTCCATGATTAGGCAAGTAATTAACTTGAGTAGGATTTTGTCTGGATTGTTTTGAGAGACTGTGATTTGCCTTAAGGAGCTGAAGGCATTTGGGTAGAAATGTTGAGATTATAGAGATTATAGGTCACATTGGGAAGTTGCTCTGAAAATCCTCCACCAAGGTAGTGCAGAGTCCTAATGAAGTCTGAAAGTGAAGAACTGAGGCTACTGGGGGCCTACCTTCTGAAATGCTGTAAATAAACTAGCTGAAGTCTGTTGTTGATAAATGAAAACAGATTCTGTGCTTGGGAGCTTCTTCCTCTAAGACTATGCATTTCTGATACAATTATTAACTCTGTTGGGCAAATGCTTGCTTTTTGTTGTTGGGCTCCTGGATCTGTGTTTGCTCACTTAACACCATAAGACTTGGAGCCAGTGCTTGTGTCCTTGACCTAGGAACATAGCCCTCCTTTTTAGTCTAGTTCTTCCTGTTGTGTTTTTGATCATGGAACAATTTTAGATGGCAGTCTTTAGCATGGCAGCAAGCATTGGAAGGTACTGTTTGGACTGGTATGGGATGCTCCCGTAGCATCTACATCACTCTCAGTTACTACTGAGTCCTGAGCCTTTCCTCTTTCCTTGGAAGTCTTTGCCACTCCCAATGGCCTCCTATTTGACTTTCCTCCCTCTAGTCTCTTTCCCATTCTAGTGCATTTTACATACTGCAGCTAGAATGATGTTTCTTAGCAAAAAAAGCTAATCATGTCATCTGTTACTTCTGACCTTGAGCTTGGCATGCAGTGGATTTAGTAGACAGCCTTTATCCTGTTCTTTTAGCTGCTTCCCTTCATGAACCTGGGGGGCCTGCCATTCTAGGAGCCTTGCTGTTTTCTGGACTCACCAGGCCCTGTCATGGTTAAGAGCCTTTGTCTGGCTCTTTCTTCCACTTGGAATGCCTTCCTCACCTCTCCAACTCTCCTGTCCCTACCTCCAAGCCTGCCAAGACCCATTCAGGGGTCACTTTCACACTGAATCCTTAGCTCGCTAGCTAAGGCAGAGCTAGTTGTTGGAGTCCTGTGAATAATCAGTCCTGTAAGTACTTCAGAGATTTCCAGATGTTTGAATTCACTCATTCATTTAGTCATCAGATGCTTACCACCAGAGCTGGGCACTGTTCTAGGTGCTAGAGCATGGTGTTGACCCAAACATACAGAATTCTTTGGCCTTGCTTTCAGTTATGTGGAAAGAAACATACTATAAACATAATAAGAAAATGACATGTATATTAAAGATAATGAATGCTATGAAAATAGAGCAAGGGGAGCCATGGTAGGAGTTCTGCGGGTGGATACAGTTTTAACTAGATGGTCATGGTAGAAATAGAGTAACATTGTAGCTAAAACTTAAAGGAGATGAGGCATGAATGAAAGAATGAGTGAGAAAACAAACACTAATCTTGTCTTCCCTTAGATTTTTCTTGTGCAGATTTAACATTACCAGATTCTTCACCTGCTTTAAGGGACCTAGTTTTTAGACTCCTCACTGCCCTGTATGTACTATTAACTTTTCCACTTTCAGAATGTACGATCCAGACTAATGTCCATTTTTCATCTCCTGCATAGTGGTGTTTCAGCTTCTGAAACTACTGAGCCACTGTAGATAGGAATATTTGTGGGCTCTCACTTCTATCCAGATTGTTGCAAAAGATATATAATCTACATCTTTTTATAGCTGAATAATATTTTATGGTATACATATACCATGATTTGTTAATCCATTCCTGTGTTGAAGGGCACTTGGGTTGTTTCTACATTTGTGTGGTCGTGAATTGTGCAGCTATAAACATTCAAGTGCAAGTGTCTTTATGGTAGAATGCCTTTTTTCCTTTGGGTAATACCTATTAATGAGATTGTAGGATCAAATGGTAGGTCTACTTTCATACTCTGTGAGGAATTTCTGCACAGCACAGGACACAGTTAACAAAGCAAAAAGACAGCCTACAGAATGGGAGAAGACGTTTGCATGCTACCCATTGGACAAAGGGCTGATAACCAGAATCTACAAAGAACTTAGGCAAATCAAAAGAAAAAGAAAATCAAAAAACCTCATTAAAAAGTGGGCAAGAGACATGAACAGAAACTTTTCTTGTGATGATAGACTAGTAGCCAACAAACACATGACAAATGCTCATCATCTCTAATCATCAGGGAAATGTAAATCAAAGTCACACTTAGACATCACCTAACCCCAGAAAGAATGGCTTCCATCATAAGTCCCAGAACAACACATGCTTGTGTGGATGTGCAGAGAAAGGAACACTTAGACACTGTTAGAGGGACTGTAGACAGGTTTACTAATTTCCTAATTCTTTTAATGAATTTGCTATCTGGATTGGGAGAGAATGGATGGAGTTAAACTCAGTTGAACACAGGGCTTAGGTGTAATGACTCACGCCTGTAGTCCTAGCACTTTGGGAGGCCAAGGTGAGAGGCTTGAGCCTGGGAGTTCGAGACCAGCCTGGGCAAAATAGCAAGACCCTATCCTGGCAAAAAATATAAAGAAATAAGATGTGGTGGTGTGTGTGTATAGTTCCAGCTACTCAAGAAGCTGAGGGAGGAGGATCATCTGAGTCTAGGAATTGGAGGTTGCTGTGAGCTGTGATTATGCCACTGTATTCTAGCCTGGGTAACATAGTAAAATCCAGTCTCTTAAAAAAAAATTGTCAGCTGGTGCAGTGGCTCATGCCATAATACTAGTACTCTGGGAGGCTAAGGTAGATGGATCTCCTGAGTGCAGGAGTTTGAGACTAGCCTGAGCAAGAGCAAGGCCCTGTCTCTACTAAAAATAGAAAAAATAGAAAATAGGGCTTGTGGCAGGCGCCTATAGCCCCAATACTTAGAAGGCTGAGGTAAGAGGATCACTTGAGCCCAAAGAGTTTGAAGTTGCTGTGAGCTATGATGCCACAGCATTCTACCCAGGGTAAGAGAGTGAGACTACATCTCCAAAATAAATAAATAAAGAAATAAATAAGTTGTGAAGTGCAGGAAATGAAAAATTATGCCTGGGAATGTTTTCACTGACATCCATATGCATTGTCTTATTTGCATAACTTAAAACCATGGTGAAGGGAAACCTTGCTCATTTGCATAGGAAGTATTGGCATTCCAGAATTGCTTAAGTAATGTATGAAATTGACATTCAATTTAGCTGGATGGCAAATCCATAAAAAATAAATGCACATTTCAGTTTTATCAGCTCAACAGCAATTTACATAAAGAATCCAAGTAGACCACGATCTGGGGGCGAAATCTTTAAAGTAATGGTAGAAGACTAGTGCTTAGGATCACTGTAAAGAACAGCGAAGTTAGTGCACCAGATCTGACATACACTACTGTTTTTGCTTCCCTCTGAAATGTACAGCTGTATTCAGTTCCTCATTCCTTGAATGTCAACTTTGCTTGTATCTTACACTTCAGATAGTATTATTCCACAGACCTATAAACACAGATAGAACACTAGTGATAATTTATCATTGCTCTGCTCCTGGCTTAAATGGGATTTCTGCTCATGATTCATTATTTATCGTGAAGCTGACTTATGTGTTGAATGAATTTTTAGGAAATATCCATTGTTGTCTGTTTTAGTAAGCATTTATGTGATGAATGGCTAAGCTTTTCTTATCTGTTTTGATGACTGGGTTTTCTCTATCTAGCAGCATCACAAATTTTATAATATATCTCTTAATTATGCATTCATGGAATGACTCACTTAAGGGGGTACTTTTTAAAGTACTGTTAGATTAATACTGTTCATTAATGTTTATTTGGGAAATTAGCATCAAAATACATGAAGGAGCTAGGTCTCTCTTTCTCTTCCCTCCTCTTCTCTCTCACTCTTCTCTGTCTCTGTTGCCTAGGCTGGAGTACAGTGGTGTGATCATAGCTCACTGGAGCCTCAAACTCCTGGGCTCAAAACAATCCTCCGGCCTCAGCCTTCCTAGTAGTTAGGACTGCAGGCGTGCACCACTACACCCAGCTAATTTATTACATTTTCTGTAGAGACAAGGTCTCACCATTGCCCAGCCTGGTGTCAAACTACTGATCCTTCTGACTCATCTCACTTTTCTCTACTTTTTTCCTTTTTTTTTTTTGAGGCAGAGTTTCACTATGTTGCCCTTGGTAGAGTGCTGGGGCGTCACAGCTCACAACAACCTCAAACTCTTGGGCTTAAGCAATTCTTTTGCCTCAGCCTCCCAAGTAGCTGGGACTAGAGGTGCAGGTGCCCACCTCAATGCCTGGCTATTTTTTGTTGCAATTGTCATTGTTGTTTAGCTGGCCGGGGTTGGGTTTGAACCTGCCAGTCTTGGTGTAGGTAGCTGGTGCCATAACCTCTGGTGCTGAGCCTCCTTTATCATCTTTTAGCATCTTTTTAGTGTAGTGTTAGGTTATTTAAAAGATTTAGGAAGCCTTTCTTCTCTATCTAGGAAGACTTTTTTTTTTTTTTTTTTAACCTTTTTAACATGGAAATTTTCAAGTCCATATGAAAATAAAGAAAATAGGATAATGGATCAGTCCCCTATCACCTAGCTTCAACAATTATCTGCATATGGTCAATCTTATATATTTCTCTCTTTTCACCCCCCTACTGCCACAGCTGGATTATTTTATAGCAAATCTCAGATGTCTAATAGGTTTTAAAAATTATAAAATTTTACAAATAATACATAAATATATTCTTATCATTTTTAAAAAACAACTTATAAATTAGGCTAAAGTTTCATTTGACCACTATTCCTACATCCTGGACCCCTCTCTAGAGGTTGCTGCTGTTAGAAGGTTGTATGTGCCTGCCTTTTATTTAAATAGGTGTTTGGCACACACCAATGTGCCTTCCTTTCTCTTTAACCCTTAGACAAATTAGGCAACATGTGGTTTATGACATTTCTCTACTGAAAGAGTTATGCTGATACCTAATTAGAGTTTTGAAGGAGCAAAATCACAGTTCTATAGGCAGCACTCTATCAACAGGACATAGTAACTTGATCTAGAATGGGAAGACCTAGGTTTGGGCCCAGCTTTGCCACTCACCTCCTTGTATCCTTTTGCAAACCACTTCTTTAAATCAATTTCCTTGAGTGTGAATTGAGGATTAAATAAGAATATATGCAGAAGCCTTCTGTAAATAATAAAACCCAAGACTTTTGTTATTGACCATACTAGGTCACTTTAAGATAAGAAGTTCCTAAGAGAGGAAAGTAGTATTTGCATATTACCTTCATTTTGTTAGAACATGTTTCTAAGGATTCATTAGCCCTAGTTCTAGAGATGAGAAGGAGGGGCACAGGCTGATGCCAGTGGCAAGCTAGAAACTATTTTACAGGCTTCTGCTGGAGGGAAATTCTGATTTTGAGATGGGTGCAAAGAGATGGGTTTTCCTTCCAAGGCACATATACACACTAATGTGGCCTTTTTCTCTGTGTTCAGAAAAGGAAGCTTCCCCAGACTCAGACCTCTCAGGTTAAGAGCTGGCCCTCCTGTTCAGTAGCTACTAACTTTGAGCATGGTGCTTCCCTTCGCTCAGCCACATTTTTTTTTTTTTAATTTGTAAACATAGGCAAAACATGGAACCTGCTTCATGTAGCTGTTGTGGAGTTTTGGTGAGATAATGCTACTAAAAGACTTAGCACAGAGCAGGCAAACATTAAGTGCTCACTATTACCTAATCTTTCAAATATTATGACTTCACCATTATCAGGCTGAGACTGTGCTTCTTCTCTTTCAGGTAGGAGGTGTACAGTCTTTGGGGGGAACGGGTGCACTACGAATTGGAGCTGAGTTCTTAGCACGATGGTACAATGGAACAAACAACAAGAACACACCCGTCTACGTATCCTCACCAACCTGGGGTGAGTCTTTCAGCTGTAGTGAGAGGAGAAACAGAAGTTAGAATTGTTCTCATGACTTTCACTGGTTATACAGAAAGTGTAATTCATCCCCAGAGCAACTGTCCTCTGGGAATGGCTTGAGCGGTAGATTATAATAGTACATGAGAAACCTGGTGTTCAAATGCAAATTAGGATACTCTTTCACAAGATTTTAGGTAGACTTTCATTTTAGTCTTTGTTGAAACTCCCCACAGGAGGCATAAAATGTAGGTACAGGAAGTGCCATTGTAGTGGGATATAAGTTTGGCATTAATAGTGACTGGTTGAACTTGTTCTGGCTTAAATTCATTCTTCTATATGTTAACCCCTAGGTTCAGTGACACCAGCGGACATCGAGCCTGTGAGGGCCCTGGAAGCTGACTTGGATTCTTTCCAAGTATACCTCCTAGTGTTTGTAAAAGCATTTGACATTTTACCCTTTGCTTGCAGAAAATCATAATGGTGTATTTTCCGCCGCTGGTTTTAAAGATATTCGGACCTATCACTACTGGGATGCAGAGAAGAGAGGACTTGACCTCCAGGGTTTCCTGAATGATCTGGAGGTGGGTGATTTAAAAGAAAAAGTAAAGAGAATCCCCTGGTGTCAGGAACAGCAAGGAAAGTCTTTGGATAAGTTGATAAGTGAAAGTCTGAGATGTCTTCCCCAAACCAGATAGTGGTTTTTGAAATAGCAAGTAAGAGAGAGCACAAAAGAGAGACACGAAAGAGTGAGAAGAACATGGTTGCCCGGGGCCCTCTCGCTGACTGTGTCCCTCACACTGCTGCTAGTCTCAGAGCTGACGTAGCTTCCTTCTCCTCAGAATGCTCCTGAGTTCTCCATCTTTGTCCTCCATGCCTGTGCACACAACCCAACCGGGACTGACCCCACCCCAGAGCAGTGGAAACAGATTGCTTCTTGCATGAAGGTAACTACTATGTCAAAGCATCGCTTAAAAAAGATATATTCAAAAGCAATACCTGTTTACTGAAGAATTTGGAGTATGGAGAAAAATCCAAGGAAAAAATATTAAGTATAAATCCTGTTACCCAAAGAAAGACATCATTAATATTTTGGAAGATAGAGTATCAGGCTTTGTGTGTGTCTGTGTGTGTGCATGCGGTTTTATATATACATGTATACATTTTACAACGATGAGATCAGTTTGTCTGTACTGTTTTGTAACACTTTGTTTTTCATTTGATGCTTTATATACAGGTCAGTAAATGTTTTGCAGCAGCATTTTCTATAGCTATGTTATATCTCTTTCTTGGATATTTCATATTAGGATTGGGTAAATCAGGTGATGGAAATTTAGGTTTATTCCAGATTTCTTGATCTTATGAACAGTTACATAATAAAACTTCTTTTTATTATTTCTTTGGTATAACTTTCTAGATTGGAATTTCTAGTTCAAAGTGTGTATATTCTTCACTGACGTGTTTGTGGAATACTTGGTGAGGAAGTGTTGTGTACTGGGTGTCATTGGGATACAGTAGTGAACACAGCAGATGCCCCTCCCCTCAGTCTGTTTGGGGAGACAGACAAGTGCTAAGCAGTTGTGATACTGTGGAATAGTTATGCTGATGGGGCTTATAATGGGGTATGTAGCCCAGACTTTTGGCAGTATATATGGGGACGGATGGCAGGAGCCTTCCTGGAAGAAGGGATATTCATGTTGAGATTTGTAGGATGGGGAGGAGTTAAAAAGACATCAGCAGGCAGGGCCGGGCAGAGAACTTTCCTTCCCTACAGAGGGAAGAAGAGCATGGCGAAAAGCTCTAGGCAGAGATCATACTCATGTAAGGAAGACAAAGTAATTCTTACCGTGGCCTAGAGTTCAAGGGAGTTGGGGAGTGTGAGTGACAACGCTAGAAAGTAAATAGAGCCAGGTCCTGTGCTGAGGAGTTGGACTTTGTTCTGAGGGCAATAGGAAGCCCCTGAAATCTTTGATGTCAGGGAGTGACGTGTATTGTGTTAGGATCATCCTGATTGCATAGTAGGGACTGGATTGGAGGAAGGCCAGATTAGGCAGATTGGGGGAGCAGTTAGGAGGCTGCTTCCATAATCCAGACAGGCATTGATGGTGCCTTGAATAGAGTAGGTGGCAGAGGAGAAAGTGAGATGCAGAAGCATTCTGGAGCTTTCGGGAAATAGGTCTGATAGGACTGGAGTGTGAAAGGACATGGAGAATAAGCTGCAGAGGTAGGAATCATGATATACCACTCACCACAGTTTCACCCAGGCCACATACATCCAAAGCTTGGACAGTTCCAGGGAGGGATGTGGTATCCACTCAGAGAGCTCAATAGCAGGAACAGGTTCACTGTGGGCAACTCTTCAAAGAGATAAGAGTGGTAAGATTAGAGACTACTCTGTCCACTTTGTTTGAATACCCAGTAGAATATTCCTGAAGTTGTGGGGTGACCCTGGGGATACTAAGCCTACATGTGACCAAGCTTATTACACAAAGAATTCATGGAGAAGGATCCACCAACCTAGTACCTAACTGCCATGCCTCAAAAACAAGCCCCTTTTAGCAAAGCTGCATGGTGACAAGAATGGTGTGTTTTTTTTCTTTATTTTTTTGGAGACAGGGTCTTGCTCTACTGCCTGGCCTAGAGAATGCAGTGGTGTGATCACAGGACACTGCACCCTTAAAATCCTGGGCTCCAGTGATCTTCCTGCCTCAGCCTCCTGAGTAGCTGGTACTACAGGCATAAGTTGTCACGTCTAACTAATTTTTCTATTTTTAGTAGAGATGGAGTCTTCCACTTGCTCAGGCTGTCTCAAACTCCTGAGCCAAGCAAACCACCTATCTTGGTCTCCCAAAGTGTTAGAATTACAGACATGAGCCACCATGCCTGGCCTACAATGTAGTACTCTTAAAAAGCAAAGTTTACAGGGCAGCGCCCACACCTCAGTGGGTAGGGCGCCAGCCACATACACCCAGGCTGGTGAGTTCGAACTCAGCCTGGGCCTGCTAACCAACAATGACAATTGCAACAACAACAAAAAAATAGCCAGGCATTGTAGCGGGCGCCTGTAGTCCTAGCTACTTGGGAGGCTGAGGCAAGAGAATCGCTTAAGCCCAAAAGTCTGAGGTTGCTGTGAGCTGTGATGAGACAGCACTCTACCAAGGGTGACATAATGAGACTCTGTATCAAAAAAAAGCAAAGTTTACAGAAATCACTACATTTATGGTTGCTGTTTAGCTGAACAGAGAAAGAGAAAGAGACATAAAGTGGTGATTGGGTGCATATAGACAAGAAATAGAAAAGGACAGTGTTAGAAGTTCCTCCTGGGCACCAGCTGGGGAAGGAGGGTCAGTAAGTGAAGTTGGTTCCAGAAGGATTTCCTTCCCTGACTCACTCTCCTTCCTTGCAGCGGCGGTTTCTGTTCCCTTTCTTCGACTCAGCCTATCAGGGCTTCGCGTCTGGAAACCTAGAGAAAGATGCCTGGGCGGTTCGCTATTTTGTGTCTGAAGGCTTTGAGCTCTTCTGTGCCCAGTCCTTCTCTAAGAACTTCGGGCTCTACAGTGAGTGCCCTTCCAAGTTACAATCCCCTCCTCATATCACCCCCTCTAGGCAGCCACTCCTGATTCTCATCTCTCTCTTTAGATGAACGAGTGGGGAATCTGACTGTGGTTGGAAAAGAAGCTGACGGCATCCTGAGGGTCCTTTCCCAGATGGAGAAGATTGTGCGAGTTACTTGGTCCAATCCCCCAGCCCAGGGAGCACGAATCGTGGCTCTGACCCTAAGTAACCCTGAGCTCTTTGAGGAATGGTAAGGGGCATACAGCCTGTTGGGTGAGGAGTGGGAAGCAGAGTAGTCATTGTCCAATTACATTTAACTGCGTCTCTTCCTCTGACTTGGGTAGAGGCAGGATAAAATTACTTTAACCCCTTCAAATATCAAATATTTATGTGAAACAGTACCAGTACCTACCTCACATGTGTGTAACACAGCACCTGGACCAGAGGAAGAGGCACTTGGAGTGGTGGCTTCCCCACTTCCCTGCCTCCCAGGCTTCCTCCCCATACAGTTGGAAAACTCAGGAAGGAATTCTTGATGGAACAGAATATCCACATTCAAGGCAGTATGGCAATTTGAGGGGTTTTCATTTGTGTCTCTAATTATATACATTTTATCTTATTTTGGTACTGAGTTATTTTTATCTAGTAGCTAAATCTGCAATCTCTATTTAATTACAGATAAAATATATTATCCTATCTATATCAGTACCTCAATGAAGCCTGAGTTGAAACATTGGTGTTTTATAGCAGTATACCCAAGATGGCCCTAGACTCCATCAGTAAATACAGTCCTTTCCTTCCACTACTAAATCTGACTCTCTGGTCTGTTCATCCACCTATCCAGGCATCCACATACCTTAAAGAGCAGGTTGTGACTCCATTTTCAGCATGTAGTTTTAAGTTACAGTTTTTAAACCTACATGTTCTCATGTACCATCTCTCCTGTCTGGACTGATACCTATGTTACTATTCATGCTTTAGGACAGGAAATGTAAAGACAATGGCTGACCGGATTCTGACCATGAGATCCAAACTCAGGGAACAATTAGAAGCCCTGAAGACCCCTGGAACCTGGAATCACATCACTGAGCAAATTGGCATGTTTAGTTTCACTGGATTGAACCGTAAGTGGCCCCCCCGCCTCCTTCAGCACATTTCTCCTCCTCTCAGTTGCAGTCGCTGGTCTTGTGCTCACCTCTTAGTCATTGCTTACTGGGCAGCCATTGCTTTGAATCAAGTTGGGTTATCTTAGATGTCTCATCATCTAAACCTCTTGGGTCTCAAGAAAGCATTGTTATGGTCTGCCCTGCTGACCCATAGCCAAAATATTTTCATTTTCATAGGCTGGAAAGTAGCTCAGAGCTAGCTGGGAAATAACAGGCTTTATATTTTGGTTTACTAAAAGTGTTCAGGTGTCTTTTGTCTTTACCTTAACCCTAAGAATAAATATATTATTCAGGGATCTAATTTCTTAACAGGTCTTTCCTATCTCCAGGTATTGCCCTCACAAAGAAATTAGAGTTCTCTTTCTATTTCATAAATGAAACCTGAGATTGGTGGTTGAAATTAAAAGCTGAACAGTTGGTGGGGAGCCATCAGTAGTGCATATCTGCTGTCAGTAGGCTCTTGTGATGATAGAGGATTCATTTATTTAATAGATAATTCCAGAGCACTACTGGCCAAGCCACTGATTGGGTGGTACAGATGTGGCCACTCTGTGCATCTGAGTGGCTCTCGGGAGGATGTTCAGCTGGCTTGGGTTGTAGGTAGACCGTCAGAGGCCCCTAGAGGTATTATAGTTGGGGCCACTAGAGTGCCAGCATGAAATGGACTGAGAAAAAAAGGAAATAGAAAGTTAGAGGTGAGAGAGATTGTATTATAGACCCCTCAAAATACTCTGGGGTAAAGTGAGGCTACCCGAGAAAGTGAAGAAATAGCTTAGTTGGTGGTAGGTGTCTTCACGTAGGTAGGACAGAGAATTAGTTGACTAGAACACGTAAAGTCATCCTTATACAATGTATTTTACATTATTCAGTGTTTAATGTAAAAATATTAAGTGTAATGGAAATAGTCTTAGTGGTAATATTCTTAAAGCTCACAAGTTGGGGATATTTCTCCAATAAAATATCCATATCCTTCTAACTATCCAGACTAGGATATTTGTTTTATTTTGTATTGAAAAATGATGAGAATAGAACTGTGCTTATAATACTAAAGTTATATTTTTAGCATTTGACATCATTTTTAAAAACAGTGTTTTTTTTTTCTTCCAACATTTCATAAAATAGCATTTTATTTTGAAAATTTTAAACATCCAGGGAAGTTTGAGGAATTACGCTTATTTCCCCATATGCCCACCATCTAGTTTCTATGGTTTTCATGTTAAAAGCTCACTACATTTTATCTGTCAGAACAGGAGCTTTTTTAACCTGGAGTCTTTGGATGTACTTTAGATCTATGAAGCCTCTGAAATTATATCTTAAAAATTGCATATGTGTATATTGGCCTTTTTCAAGGAAAGAGTTCATAACTTTTACTAATTTCTCAAATCATGATATATCCCTTCTCCCCCGAAATAGAAAAGTCTCATTTTTATTAAAAACAAACAAGCAAACAAACCCAGGGTAGGAGCCCTATAATCACAATAGGATGCATTTCTGCAAACATGGGAAAATCTTCTTGTATCTGAGAGAGTGAGATCTGATAAATGGACCAAGGTCTGATGGTGCCAGGTCAGAGAGATCTGTGTGGTTTTGCTTGGTTCATTCACACAGCATTTATCAAGTGCGCTTATCAAGTATGTGAGCTTTGTCTGATACAGAAATGTCAAAGGAGGGTTGCCTCTAGATGCTCAGGGACAAGCATACACTGGTCAGAAAAGGGTTAAAGGAAGCCCTTCATAACCAATTTTCATATCGATGGAATGTTCTTAAGTCTGATGGTGGTTTTGGTTCATGGGAGTGTCTGGTCAATGTAATGTACAGGCTTGATTAGGAAGTAATCCCAGATTAAAATTCCCACCAGCCATATTGGATTTTCTGGGGATTAGAAAGTTAACTAATAAGAGTACTTTCTAGAATCTAGTGAGCCTATTTTCCTGTTTGTCAACTGAACAAAATAGCTACTTTTTTTTGCTTCTCTATGTTAAGGGGAAGGAAGGAAAATTTTAATTGTCCTATAATTGCTGAGCCTCTACTGATTTACAGTTCCTTGCTGATCTGATTATCATCTTTTGATTTCAACAGCCAAGCAGGTTGCATACATGGTCAATGAAAAGCACATCTATCTGTTGCCAAGCGGTCGGATCAACATGTGTGGCTTAACCACCAAAAATTTGGATTATGTGGCCACCTCCATCCATGAAGCAGTCACCAAAATCCAGTGAAGAAACACCATCCCGTCCAGCACCACCAAAGCAATTCTGTCATGTGTGTTTCCTGCCTGCACAAACCTAGATGTACATATCATGGATTAGAGATGACTGAAGGACTGGAAGTTTGGTCTGGTGAGGTGGCTTCTGTTTAAATTGGTCCCACGTAAACAGAACATCCCTTGAAATGAATTTGTGGCCTGAGATTAGCGCCTTTTGGAGGCCAGAGCAAATTAAGATTTTTATTTAAGAATAAAAAGTACTTGGATCATGAGATGTAGGTATCTTGCCCCCCTTGCTAGAGGCAGGAGTGTGTGCATGTGTGCTACACGTGGCTCGACTCTGTACAAAGTCCTGTCCCAAAGATCAAGTTGTCTGAAGGAGCCAAAGTATGATTGTGGGAGTTGGTTATGGGCATTAAAACTCATCATCTCGACCCAGAGTTGTCTTTATCTCCCTGCTCTTTCTGCATGGTTGTGTCTCTAGTTCTAAACTTTAGTTCTTTAGGGTGACTGTGATAAATATATTTAATCATGACACATACATATTTAATTGAAAAAAAATGTTTCACCAAACAGTGTACTCTTGTTATGTGTAGTGCATTTGGTATTTTCTAGTCTGTTCTATTGTGTTCTCCTTCACTAAGAAAATAAAATAAAAATGCTAATCAAGACCTATGGAATTGATTTTGTGATCCACTAATGAGTTGTGATCCACAGTTTAAAATGAATGCTTTAGAGGAATTAACTAGTGTCTATAGGAAAAAGTAAAATGTATTCTCACTATATAGCTCCCTTTAGTGAACTCACCATATATGACTGTTGGTTTTATGGGCTCGTCATTCAGAGCCCACCCATCATCTTATATTACTTTAGAAAATGGACTTCATAGGAGGAGTATCATCACTCAGGGTGATTCTGGAACTCCAGCCTCTCTCTTCCCATTATAGTCAGAGTTCTCTTAGTCTATTGAAACAATTAGGGCCACTTAAATATAGATCACGATTTCCAGATGGTACAAGGGCAAATGGCAGTTTTGTATAATAGAATTTGATGGGGTCTAATCTTATTAAAACAAGAGAGTTACAACTTGGAGTTTAGAAATATTTAGTTAATTCTTGTTATTTTAACAAGGTCTACTCCTTTCTAGGATGCCTTTGTGTAAAATCCTAGTCTTGAGATGATTGGGGTCTTAGAATTCAAGTCTATCCCCCACCCTCCCCAGTGAAAACAGTCTCATCTTGCCCCTGATGCATCATCTTCAACTGGGGGTTGTTGTTGGTGGATTCTTTGAGTACTTGATGAGGCCTCCATCCCATTCTGTTGTCTTAATAATAAAGATGTTTTACTTTTGACCAGAATTTGATCTCCTTTGTCACATTCCCCTGCCCCTCCCTCCTTCCACAGATAGTAAGTCTACTGGCCCTTCTGATAACCTTTCACGTATTTTAAGGTAGTTGTTCTTTGTGAACCCTCATCCCCCCATTCTTCACAGGATATAACTTCCAAATCTTGATTGGGCTGGAGCCCCAGCAGTCCTTCAGAGGGCACTTGCTCTGCAGGTGAGTGGTTGGGCTGGTAATGTGAACTTTGTGGGTGTGATGAGATGCTGTCCTGCTCATTTCCTCACTGCCTTTTGAAGAAATCAGTGTTTATTCTTCCAACTGAAAGATGCTTGTGGCCGGGCACCCATAGCTCCATGGTTAGGGCACCAGCCAGCCACATGCTCTGGGGCTGGTGTATTGGAACCCAGCCACACCTGCTAAACAAACAAAAAAAATAGCCAGGTGTTGTGGCGGGCACCTGTAGTCCCAGCTGCTAGGGGAGCTGAAGCAAGAGAATCGCTTGAGCTCAAGAGTTTGAGGTTGCTGTGAGCTGTGATGCTACAGCACTCTACCAAGGGTGACAAAGTGAAATTCTGTCTCAATAAACAAAGAAAGAAAGATGGTTGTAAGGGAGGCAGCCAAAATAGAAGTTGATTCTGCCTTCTGTCAGTCCTCCGTTCTCTGCATAGTTTTAAATCATGCATTCACCAAAAGGCTGATGGTACCGCCACAAGGGGAAAAGTTGGTTCTTCGAGGCAAAAAAGATCTGATCTATCAGTGATATGTGGCTCTCCAAAAAACCACAATCCTACCTGAAAAATCTTATTTCTTAGTATTTAATTTCTCCTATTAGGACAAATTGCAATTTAATTTTTCTCTTAGAGCAGTGGTTCGGGTCTCAACCTTCCTAATGCCGTGGCCCTTTAATACAGTTGCTGTGGGTTGCAACCCATAGGTCGAGAACCACTGCTTTAGAGGGTGCTAAAACCATTAAACATGTCTTTAAACCTAAATGCCAATACCAATACTAAACTGTTTGGTATTTTAAAAAAGCCACAGTGTTTCCCACTTTAGCAGCTGTAGCTAAACAAACAAAAGCCAAAAAACAAAACTCCAGTCTTGATGGGAATTTGGTCCTCTTAATTCTATTTTTTTTTTTTTTGAGACAGAGCCTCAAGCTGTCCCCCTGGGTAGAGTGCCGTGGCATTACAGCTCACAGCAACCTCCAACTCCTGGGCTCAAGCGAGTCTCCTGCCTCCGCCTCCCAAGTAGCTGGGACCACAGGCGCCCGCCACAACGCCCGGCTATTTTTTGGTTGCAGCCGTCATTGTTGTTTGGCGGGTCCGGGCTGGGGATTCGAACCCGCCACCTTAGGTGTACGTGGCTGGCGCCTTAGCCGGTTGAGCTATAGGCGCCGAGCCCTCTTAATTCTATTTTTACAGATACTTTGTATAGTGTGGTCCCCACGATATTATTCCCGTGAGTGTTTATGTGAAAAGGGCTCTCTGTAAGTTTGGGGAAAGCCATAGGACTCTCTTCAAGGGCCTCTAATATGCAGATATTCACCGTGAACTTAAGAGGTTAAGACAGAGGTTTCACAGATTTTGCCTGTTCAATCAGACCTCCAGGCCCTGCCAATTCCCAACTGTGTGACTTTGAGCAAGTCATCCAACCTTTTTTTTTTTTAATTAAGTGATAGCTGTGTACATTAATGCAATCATGGGGTACAGTGTGGTGTTTTCATATACAATTTGAAATATTTTCATCAAACTGGTTAACATAACCTTCATGTCATTTTCTTAGTTCTTGTGTTGAGACGTTTATATTCTACTTTTAGAAAGATTCACTTGTACCTTTGTAAGATAAACCATAGAGGTGATCCCTTGAATCACCCAAGTCATCCAACCTTTTAGTAATACCACCTAGTTTTGAGGAAGAAATGAGCTAATGGATACTTACCATAATACTTGGCACATAAAGCCCTCAACAAAATAGGAATTATCATTAAAGAAATGAATAGCCTTATTGAGGTTCCTGAGGAAGAATCTTAAGCCACCTGCATCCATCACTGTCCTATTTGCTGGTTTGAGAAATTAGTAGTAGGTGTCAGATTCTAGGCTTCCTTCAGACATTCAATGCCTAACACAGCTTCCCATCTGTCTGGGTGCTCCCTCCCTCCTGTACTGGCTTAAAACTGACCAATAATCCCCAATCCCATGTTCTCCTTAGCCTCTGACTGGAAACTTCTGGAGTAATGCCACTTTGACTCCTTTCTGAAGGGTCTGCAGAAGCAAGCCAGTGTGAACAGCACATTATCTCATGGGCTTTTCTGGGTCCAGCCTCTAAGACTTTGGACTTGGATGGCACCCTGTATAGTTCTTCACCTGTCACATGGGTGTAAGAAATGCCATCCCTTCTCAAAACCTTGGTCTCGGGGCTCCTTGTCTTCATGCACACTCCAGGTTCTTGTTTGGGTTTTACTTCTCCTGTTGCGTCCACAAAATCTTACCCATCTAGCCTCCCAAGTCAGGACTTTGCTGTAACCTTACTTCAGCCTCATGCCTGGACTTGAGAGGCAAGCCTCTTCACACAGGTGGGCAACAGGTGATGTAATTACCCATCTGCATCACCCAACCTGCATCTCCAATGAAGCATCTTTGAACTTTTGAGATTCTAGAGAAAGGAAAACAGTGACATTCCAGGAAAGGCATTTTCATTTTATTTAAAAATTATTTACAATTATTAAGCCTTCATAAATGCTTTATTTTAAAATCCTTTTTTTTTTAAAACTTTTTTTGTTTTACCTGAAGAAAATCTTTGCTGGGGCAAGCAAAGGGAGGGGGGTACAGGGAAGGGAATGGTGACAGACTCCTTAGGGATTCTGCAAAGGGATGGATGTAATGCAATAGCAGTGGCCTGAGCTCCGTGGCCTAAGGGGTAAGGAAAGGAAGACTAGCCAGGCAGCCCTCCTCCTGCCCCGGGCCAGTGGCCAGCTGAGCAAGAAGACTGTATGATGGCAGTTCTTGCTCAAGACTCACCATTTACTGGATCGGGACTGAGGCACTGAACACCGAGGGCTGACACTGTCTATTCCTACCAGGAAAGATCAGGTGTCGGGAAGGGTTGCTGTGAAGTTACCTACCAGAAATCATGCACTGCTAAGCCTCAGGCCAGGTCCGGCCAGGCAAGGGTACAGCGAAGTCAGTAATACATTGTTGGAGAAGGCATCTCTAGTTCCAGAGCCTGCTCCCACATGCTGTGGCCCTCCTGTCTGCAACACCTGCTCTGGTTTGGGGAAAGTGGGGTGAGTTATGTGGGGGTATAGGTTGTACAATATCTAGAATGTGCCAAGAATTTCTGAGGATTCCCACTTCTTGGTGGGTGTCAGTCTCCCCCATTGGCTGATGGCCACTTGGGAAGACCACTCATAATTAAAAATCTGTCTCAAACTGCCCAGTATTCACTTTACTCTGCATTGCAGAAACTCTGGGCTGAAAGTTCCACTATTTAAAATAGTGGTTTTTAAAAATCCTTTGTAGGTCTGAGACTTTTGAGAATCTTATGAAAGCTTTAACGCTCTGGAAAACACAAGAATACATACACTAAATTCTGTTTTAGTGGTTTCACAGACCCTCTGAAGTCCAACTACGGACCCCCTGGGGTGATGGACCCCAAGTTAAGAACCCCTGAGTTCAAGATTCCTGTGGGTATGCATTTTCTTTTGAGATGCAAATAACCCAGAGGAATTATCAGTCCACAACCTCTCCATGTGATTATTGATTGAATGGGTGTGGGGAGGTGGAAGTGATGGTTTTGGAAGAAGGGAAGGGAAGGTTTATATACCACAGGGAAACCTTTAGGAATGTTTTTTTGGAGATTCAGCAGACAGCATTCGATCACTGGGTACCTGACTGACTGAGGGCATCCAAAGGGTGGGAGATAGAAAGGGAGACAGATGTCCGAGACAAACTTCATTTACTTCCAAGATTTCCCTAAGGCTGGCTGTGGTTCCTGATTAGAACTCTTTTATTCTTGGAAGTAGGTATGTGCAGTCTTTCTGCCATCTCATGGTTATGCACGGAATTGCACCTGCCTCAACAGCGAATAGAAAAACCAGAGATCCAGTAAGTTCTTGGAATAAAGTACACTCAGCTGATCTGCCAGGGTGTGGTAAGGGGGAGGGGTCACAGATGAATGAAAAAGTATGACTTTTCAACGTTCCTGTGTAGTGCACACTGAAGTCCCATGAGAGTATGCATCTTTCTTGGCTGACCTGGGCACTCTTTGGTTTGTCATGGCTAAACTTTCTTTTAACGGCTTAGAATTTTTCCATGTAAGGGTTTTTGTTTCTTTGTTTTGTTTTGGTTTTGCTTTGATTTGCACTTAAAACCTGAAGTTCCATCTCTGGCTCCCACTTGGGTTTGTCTGTTCCTCACTCCCTTTCCAGAGCAGATTTACCGACTGATTAATAAGCATTGATTAGGAGCCGAAAGAGATCTGTCCCTGGGAAAAACAGTGACTTGAGGTTCCATCTCACATTCTTTCCATTCTAGCTGAGACTTGTACTTCCCCAGGGTGCTGGAACTCTAAACCAACAAGAAACTAGTTACTGACAGTTTTCTGTGGTATAACGTCAGTCACATGTCAACGTGGCTGAGTCCCACTGCTCTGAAGTTCTGGAGGAATTCTCAGTCCATCCCTGAACAAATCTTCGTACCTGCTATTCCAGCTTCCCATATGCCTGTCTGCCAGTGGCACCTTCTGAGCTAAGCTAAGCATGAAATATGATAGAAAGATGTCATTTGTTCTGGAGGAAAGAATGGTGAGTTCCAGGACATGGATGGCATCAGGGGTCCCAGAGTGGCACTGTCAGCTTGGGGGTCCTCTCTTCTCCAGTCCTATACTGTGCTGTGGACAAGACCATTTCTAGCATTAGAGGCACTTCCTTCTGTTATGACCACGGCAAGGCTCTGAGTTAAACTGGAGGCAACAAGGGAAAATCTGCCAAATCGACAGCTAGGGGTGAAGAG